AAAAAAAACAGAGGGAGAACAGACAGCAGGAAAAAGACTGACAGACATAAAACTGATTGTGTGTGTGTGTGTGAGCGTGTGCCGCGGGGAGGCGAGGGAGGACCCCTCCCCCACCAATCAATCAATCAATCAATCAATAAAAAAAAACATCAATCAATCAATTTTTTTTTTTTTCAATTTTTTTTTTTTTTTTTGTCACACACCAAAATCCACCCCCCCAAATTTTTACTTTTTTTTTTTTTGTGCATAGGGCGATAGCAGCAGACGTGCGCAGGCGGCGCGCACATGCCCTTTTTCCGCGCGCGCCCCCGCCTGGCCCTGGCACGGCAGTGCGCAAACTCGGCGGGGCCACATAGGCTCTCGTCTTTGAACGAATGTTTGCTAGTGTTGGTACATGGATGAATGTCAGCGTGAGTAACTCACTCACTCACTCACTCCTTTTGGCTGGTGCCACAAGCCATTTCGCTCGAGCAGCTGAACCAAAAAAGTTGTGGCGTGCATGCAGCCGCATTGGAGAAAAATTGTCGGAAACGTACTCCAAGGTGGAAGATCCAAACTACGACTTGACATCCTTCCGGCCGAGCAGGAAATATATTAAGCAGGCAATTACAGCATTGTGCATGGATTGGCTAGCCAGGCTAGGGGGTCAGCGGGAGAGATGGATAGCTTGGGTTGAATGGGGGGGGGAACCAGGCTGTTTTCAAGTTGGCGAGACAGGGCCCACCCAGGGACTATGTGTCTATTCAACGGGCAACAGGAAAGTTTCAACTCCGTTGTACCCGTTGAATAGCCCCCGGGGCCCCGTTGAATTCCCGTTGAATGGTACAACGGGCCCTCCCCTTTGAATACTGTTCAACGGGGAGGGTGCATTGGGCCTCGGACACGACGCTGGGCGCACGTGAACCAAAAAAAAAATCGTCCCATTGAATCCCGTTGAATCCCCGTTGAATCCCCGTTGAATCCCATTGGATCCCCGTTGAATCCCGTTGAATCCCCGTTGAATCCCGTTGAAAAAAAAAACGGACATTGTCCAAAACTTCCGGGAAAAAATTATGTTATGCAGAAAAATAAACTGAACAACTTTTGCCTCAGCGTCACATCGAAAATCTTCACCAAATTAAAAATAAAAAATAAAATATAAAAATAACTTTAAATAAGTTATTTATTTATTTTTTTACGTGTGTGTGTGTGCGTGTGTGTGTGTGTGTGTGTGTGTGTGTGTGTGTGATCGGGTGGAGGTGGGGGGGGCGACCCATCCCCTACCAATCAATCAATCAAAAGAGAAAAAAAAGTTAAAAAAAAAAGGGGAAAACCCGCTTTTCTCGTTATTTTTACTTTTTTTTTTTTTTTTT